ATTAGAACGAGTAACTGTTCAAATCGATGGATCAGCTGAAGGTTTTGCAGTTTTCCATTGTACTCCTTGTCAAGTTATTAAATGTAATGATACGGGTACAACTTATACATTAGTTAAATTACCTGATGATTCATCAGTTGTAACTGGTACATTAGCATGTATAATGAAATATACAGTTAAAGATTGTGATCCAACGACGGGTGTACCAGATGATGAAGAAGGTTATGCTGATGAATTTGTGGTTTGTATTTTTATTAATTTCGATTATTTATTTGTCATAGCGTTTTGTCTTTTGTTTTTAGCTTGAAGATATTGAAATAACAGTTAGTGATCATGTACAAAAAGTACTTAAACCAAATTGGTCTGCTTGATGGAAAGAAATTGGAGCTGAAAATGAACTTGAAGATACATATACATTATTAATTCTAACACTTGAAGGTATTATAAAATTATTATATTTTATTTTTCATTTCATCTTATGTTTATTATAGAATGTCTGAAGAAAATAATAAATTATATGGGAATGCAAGCTTGTGAACGATCAGACAAAATTCTAGAAGGCAAAGCATCACATGCACTTTATTTAGCGGGTGTCTATCGTGGTGGATATGATGTACTTGTTCGAACAAAAATGGCATTAGGTGGTACAACAGTATAACCAGGAGCACAAGCTATTACCATGCAATTAACAATACGCTGACAGATGGATCAGCTGTGCAAGTTATTGCTTCAGCAGTCGAATAAATAAATAAATAAATAACAAAAACATTGATACATTTTATTAGCATACTTTTCTTTTTTGTTGTGTGGGACTTTTTATCGATGTGCGAGTGTTATAAACTTATCATTCTCTTACTCTAAATAATATACACAGAAACATACTTTTTTTCATCGATTATTATTCCATCATAGTGCCTAATTTTAAAAAAAAATCAATTATTTTGACAAAGATTCGAAGCAAGCATTGACCAAGGCTAATAGAGCATATAACTTTTCTTTTTCTTACTAATTTAACTTTTCTATCCATCACTCAGTAACATAAAGATAATGTTCTATTGGACATAGTGTTAGTTGTTTTTCGTGTCAATATCTAAACTTAAATGATAGATGACTTTCTCTTGCATAAAAAATACAAACATTGTGCTTTTTAAAAAGCTGTTTTAATCAACCAATCCAAGTTGAAAGAAATTGAAAAGTATGTATGACGAT